CAAAAGGTGAGAGCATGCATGCCATATGAAACTATTACTTTCTTGAATCTCCTCAAAGCTAACATTTGCACAGGAGTCCAGTCAGCTCTTACACAGTCTGAGGGATATGTATCATTTGGCAGTTCCTGTAAGGTTACAGGATAAATTAAGGTTGGCTGTTTGAAAACCTTAGGCTGTTTCTCTGTAACCTTATAATGCAATGTTGAGATTGGCTCTCCTTTAAATTCCTCAGTCTGGGTCTGAATATCTCTATGATCTGTTTTAACATGTTTTTCCAAAACTTTTATCTTGGCACTCATATTAACCAACTTTTAAATGATAAAACAAAATTGATCAAACAGATAATATTTATAGTTGACATTACATAAATCCCATCTTAATTAATTATCCTCTCATTTAATTGCTTCATTTTCAAACCGACTAGCATATTATCAAATAGAGACCTAACTCCCTCCATTGTAATAATCTTTCTCATTTTTTTTAATGTGGGAAAAAACTCTCTCTTTTAACTAATTCCTCCCCTTAAGAATTCCCAATTGTTTCACCAAATCTGCCAACGATGACGATTCAGATGTGAGGCTGACTGCCTCTGTGTAGAACAGTAGAAGCCTGAGTGGGTTTCAAGGCAGCTACCTAGTGTGGCAGCAGCCTGAGGAGGGGGTCCAGGGAAAGCCACAACCCACTGGGAGAGAGGAAGCCAGAGAGCCGGCCTTCTGCAGGGGAATGTGCAAAAGCAGCTAACTCCTGTGGCTTTTGGAGCCCAAAAGTCTGTGAAGTCTGCTGCAGAGAGGCTACAACAGAAAAAGTTCCCAGACTCCCTCAGAGGGCTTGAGGAAGCAAAGGAATATCTAGCTGCGGGGTAGTGACTCTGGCCACATGTAGCTCTGGCCTGAGCCGGTGGCTGCAAAGCCACAGGCAAGCATCTTTTTCGTGAATTCACGCCCCACAAGTTGGACATCAGATGTATTGAGAATTCTAATTGATCTTAATAACGAAAACCCAGAGCCAGCTATCAGGGTAAATACTGAAAGATCAGAGAGACAAAGGAACAAGCCACAGCCACCTCTAACTTTCACCACAGCCTGTTTTTCACCATTGTCCAATAAAACTATTATATTTTTGAATGAATCAAGGGATTAATCCCATCTCTAGATCAAAACCCTCATGATCTAATTGTTTCTGGAAAGGCCCATAGACAGGTTAGTATTTTACTAACCTCCAAGGGTATTTCTCAATCTAGACTCAATGTTGTCAAGTCCATTGATAACATGCAACCACCCCCACTGTCCATCCACAGATTTCTTCATCATCAGAACTGAAGCTCTGGGCCAGAGAGGTGGCTCAGCCAGTAAAGGTACTGGTTACACAAGACTGGAGACTTGAATTTGATCCCCAGGACCCGTAGAAAGGTAGCAAGAAAGAACCAACTCCTTGAAATTGTCCTCTGATCTCCACATGTGCTCACACATTAAGCACACACCAAACACAATTTAAAAGAAAAAAATTTAAGATCGATTTGTAGACAATAGCTCCCTATTCCTCACTCCTTTAAGCTGCAAACAACAACAGTGTTTACATGAATTTACATAGTGGAATCCCGCAGGTTTTATTTTTATGGATGGCTTCTTTCACCTTTGGTTCATTCACACTGTATGTAGCTGATGTTTGGCAGCATTTGTGGTCTCAATATTACATACAAATTTTAGGAATTTTGGAATCTAGTAGGAATTACATTGAATGCTTAGATCCCATTGAATAACAGATCTTTCCCCAGAACTTCCTTCCAACCTGTGAACAAGGCAAGCCTTCCTGTTTTAATGTTCTCTTTAAAATTTTACTTCTTGCCAGGAGGCATAGTGGTGCACACCTTTAATCCCAGTACTGGGGAGGCAGAGGCAGATCTCTCTGAGTTTGAGGCCAGCCTAGTCTACACAGCAAGTTCCAGGACAGCCAGAGCTACACAGAGAAACCCTGTCTCAATCCTGACACCCCCAAAACAAAACCAAAACCAAAACCAAAACCATTTTACTTCTTTAATGCATTCCACTTATATTATACATATTATCCTGTCACTTCTGGTGGTTTTTATAGGTTACTGTACAAACATTTTATTCATTGTTTGTGTGTGTGAGACCACTTCAGAGGGGAACAAATGCACATTTATGCACGTCCTCATTTTTGGGTGGAAGCCAGAGATCAAAATTGAATGTCCTCGTCAATTCTTCTCCACCTTGTTTGTTGAGACAATGTCTCAGTCAACTTGGAGCCCACTCATGAGCTAGACTGGCTGGCCAGCAACTGAGCACCTCCCTTTTCTGCCTCCCTAGCACTGGGATTGAAGAAGTGGTTGGCGAGTCCAGATCTCCGGAATGAATGCATGTCCTCATGCTTAACTGCAAGCGCCACCCTGTGAGAGCCACTGCCCTGCACTCAAATACGGGCTCTTTTTGATGCTGTTTTATATATAATACTGCTTGTCATTCAGTTCTCACATGGTTCCAGATACTTCATTGTTAGTTGAAGAAAAAATCATTTGGTTTTCTTGTGTTGACTTTGTATCTTTGCTGAATTTGTTTGATGTTCTCATACTGTATTGTGAAACCTCCCTGTTTCCTACATGCACAATTATACAATCTATGATCAATGATCAATGGGACACATCATCTCAAGTGAGCTGTGGCCTTGTGTCTCACAGACAAGCTCGCACTTGTTCTTCACTCAGAACCAAGGGACTCCACTGTGTCCACCATATTCCATTTGAGCTCAGGTTCTCAGGAGACTGATGACCTTGCCCCAGCTGCATAGGAAACAGTGACACCTGGAACCCGATTCGGTGGCTGCTTGGCTGTGCCCCAACCCCCACCCCCTTGAACTCTGTTCTTTGTTACCAGAAGTCATGAGCCTATCTTGGTTCCAGAACAGTTTCAGCCCACTGACAACTACTTCTACAACTTGGTAAGTTGGAATTAAGATGGTTCAGTGTGATGATCTAGCTCAGCATCTTCTTAGTTTTCATTTTAGGAATGAAAAAAACACTCATCCAGGAATTGTGTGACACTGATTCTCAACACTTTACATTTCTTTATATACCAAGTGTACATCATCTCAAGCATTGGAGGAGGAGGACATGCCAAGAAACAAAGGGCGAAGAAAAGACAGAGACCACCCTGTGACTAGTACCTGACCTAAGCTAATCACCTCCAGAGACTCTCTGACAGTTGATATTTACTCAATTCTCAGATCTGATGGAAGAAGAGCCCAGGTTCTGAGCCTGGATTTCCTGATCATTTCAGCAAATTCAGTCCAGTCCACCAGGCTCCACAGGCTGCAGCCACCTTCTTTCCAATGCCCCTCATTCCCACAAAACCATTCACTAGCATTTAGTTTACAGCAGGTGGTGTGTCCAGCTAACTAAGTGATCCTTGAGCCTCCAGGGCGGACTTACCCCAGGCTGTGGTATTGTCAACAAATCCCTCAAAACTCTGCCTGTGTGGCATGAGGAACGACACCCTTTCCGTCCCTATTATGATAACTGTAGACACAGGGCTCCACCCACCGAGAAACAAAAGGTGTGTAAAATTAGACACACTGGCCTCCATGAGAAAAGTACCTGGATGGACATCCTGCTGGCCTCCCCAGGACTCTCTGACAGTTTTAGACCATTATTCGGCTTTCTCAGATCACAGCTAAGAGGTCCCCAGGCTGTGAGTTTGGCCTTCCTCATAGTTGAGCGACCTCACCCCTGTACTCATGGCTCCCGGGATGGAGCTGTCTTCCCACACTGCCTGTCACTCATCCTCATTGACTAGCCACACAAGCCACTTCAGTGGCCCTTGCCACACAGTGATAGTGCCTGCAGTGTCCGTCACACCTCATGTCCTAAAGCCAGGGGTTCCATGAACTCAATCCATTCTGAGACAATGTCCTCGGGCCCCCAGAGCTCTGCCTGTGTGGCATATCACTGACTGACTTCCCTATACGTTGTGATCCTGCACTTGGAGGCAGAGTCGACTGGTCATCTTCCCAGTGTGCTCACAGTGCCCAGCCCACATAACCACAGTATACAGCACCCTGTGGAGCAAGTAATGTTTCTCCCCTGGAGAAGCACCAGAGAAGAGGTGAAAGGGCAGGAACCTCTGAGGCAGACCTTCCCTCACCTTTCTCACCCCTCCCTAAACACCCTGGCTGAACAGTAAACACAGCGCTCTCTCTCTCTCTCTCTCTCTCTCTCTCTCTCTCTCTCTCTCTCTCACACACACACACACACACACACACACACACACACATACACACACACACAGACCTGTGTGTTGAACTTTGATCATATAGTCTGCTGGGCACCTCACTTCCTAAGTGCTCTGTCCCTCTCCTTCAGCTTCGACAACGCTATGGTGATGTGTTCAGCCTGCAGATGGCCTGGAAGCCTGTGGTTGTGGTCAATGGACTGAAGGCGGTTCAGGAAGTGCTGGTGAACTGTGGAGAGGACACCTCTGACCTCCCTCCAATGCCCATCTATGATCACCTGGGCTATGGACACAAATCTAAAGGCAAAGAGCTATCCTGGGGAGAAGGCAGAGAGGACAGGGCTTGAGGAGCCGTGGACAGAAGATGGACAGGACCTAATGGAGGGGATGTGTTGAGGCAATGCAAGGGGAAGTCACTGGAATGCAGGGTGGAGACACTAAAGTGGCATGTGCTGCTATGTGACAACAAAGTGCTGGGACACTGGTGACTGAGACTGACCTCAGGGAAATGATGGGAGCAGAGGAGATGGCACAGACACATGTATCCTTGTTTACACATGGCACATGTATCCATGTTTATCCACGGATGTCCCTGCAGGTGTGGTGTTTGCCCCTTACGGACCCGAGTGGCGAGAGCAGCGGCGATTCTCTGTGTCCACCATGCGAGACTTCGGCCTGGGCAAGAAATCCCTGGAACAGTGGGTGACAGAGGAGGCTGGTCACCTCTGTGATGCCTTGGCCAAGGAGACTGGTGGGTGATGAGTGAGATGTAGAGATGTGGGCAGGCACATATGAGCAATACCATGACTTCCTTGCATCTCTGTTTCTAGGACATCCCGTTAATCCCATCACCCTCCTGACAAAAGGTGTATGCAATGTGATTTCATCCCTCATCTATGCCCATCGCTTTGAGTATGAAGACTCTTTCTTAAACAGGCTGCTCAAAACATTACAGCAAAGTTTTGGAGAGGACTCTGGCTTCATTGCTGAGGTATGAGTCTCGGCAATGTGCATGGCCACCTCTGTGCTGTAAAATCAGAATAATTATGCATTCAGGGTGAACGAGGTATGGTCTTGTGTGATAGTCAAATGCAGGAGGAAAAGCCTAGACCTTGTTAAATCTCAGATAACAGGAGGGAAGGAGTGGACAAAGGTCAGGGGCTCTAAAAAGGGACTAACTTCTGCCTCCTGTATACACGGAACCTGCACATCCTGTTAGATTTGCAGGGTAGAGTAGTCATTTGGTTCACCTTGGGCTACAAGACAGCCTAGAGGCTGGAAGTGAGGAAGAAGCAGGTTATGGGTTGGAACAAACAGACACTGAGTCCTTTGTGGAAGAAGCCAGGACCTGAGACTGGTCCAAATGAACATTGAGCAGAACCAGCTTCCAGGGGCAGGAGATAGATGGTCATTGGGTACAGGAACTTACCAAGTAAGCCTGGAGATCTGAACTGGATCCCTGGGACCCATGTGGGAGATGGATTTTACTCTATAATAGTTCTATGACAACCAAACAGGAGCCATTGTGTACATGTCTGGATGCAGATGCGCGCACACACACACACACACACACACACACACGATTCTTCATTAGCAGTAAAAGCATCTAGACTGTTGTGTTTCTTTCCCAGGTGCTGAATGCTCTCCCGGTGCTTCTTCGCATCCCTGGACTGCCCGGCAAAGCCTTCCCCAAGCTGACGGCTTTCATAGACTCACTGGATAAGATGGTGATTGAGCACAAGACATCCTGGGACCCTGCCCAGCCTCCCCGAGACCTGACAGATGCCTTCCTGGCTGAGATGGAGAAGGTGAGGACAGCCATGAACATGGGGCCAGTGCCTTTGGGCAGAAGTGTTCTGTGATTGTGATACCAGATGGGTGGGGTTTATATGTCACCTATGGACCGAACAATTGGGGTGCATGAACACAATGGTAGATGGCTTTGGGGATTACTGCCTGTGTTTTTGAGCCTACCTTCTCTATCTGTCCCAGGCCAAGGGGAATCCTGAGAGCAGCTTCAATGATGGGAACCTGCGTGTGGTGGTGGCTGACATGTTCATGGCGGGGACAGTTGCCACCTCTACCACACTGTCCTGGGCCCTGTTGCTCATAATCCTGCACCCGGATGTGCAGAGTGAGCCTGGCTGGGACTGGGAGGGAGCGTGAGGGAAGAAAGGTAAAAGTACTGGAGAAGCTGGGGGCTCCAGCATCATCTTGACCCAGACTCCCAGAAGTCTGATGGGAGTCTTAACTCGCCTATTCATCGAGTGGGAGAAGGTCAGTGAAGAGTCACCAAGGGACTGCTTCACTGAGGGGATGCTGTCCCTCCAGGCCGCGTCCACCAGGAGATCGATGAAGTCATAGGGCAGGGGTGGCGTCCAGAGATGGCAGACCAAGCCCGCATGCCCTACACCAATGCTGTCATTCATGAGGTCCAGCGATTTGCAGACATTGTCCCAGTGAATATACCACACATGACATCCCGTGACATTGAAGTACAGGGCTTCCTCATCCCTAAAGTATGAATGGAATCCCTTGTCCCAGGGTCACCACTAGGTAAACAAGGCTATAAAGACCAAGACACCACATCCTGGATTTCCACATGGTGATGGGACAAACCTGTGTGTGAGTATACAGCAGCCATAGCCCAGGATTCCCCAGGGAAGAGGGATGTCCAAGAAAATAAGCCACAGGGATTTTAGTGAGTACTATACACAGAGGCAGGTTTGATTTGGGTACCTATGGGATCATTGTCACAGGGCCTTGAATGGTACCAGAGAAGGTACTGAGAGGCTCTGAGGTTGGGGTGAATGAAAGAATCCAGTGTGTGCACAAAGAGGATGTGCATGTTAACTTGGTGAACAGAGTTATGTTAGCTGTATTCCAGTCCATGTTCACACCATGTGTCTCCTGCCAGGGAACGACCCTCATCCCCAACCTGTCCTCCGTGCTGAAGGATGAGACTGTCTGGGAGAAGCCCCTCCAGTTCTACCCTGAACACTTCCTGGATGCCCAGGTCCACTTTGTGAAGCATGAGGCCTTCATGCCATTCTCAGCAGGTCCTGGGGGGTGCCTGGCTCCATGTGTCTTCCCAGGGGGCCTTGGAGGGTGGAGCATCCATCAGGTCCCAGACTGACTGAGCCCCTGTCCCACCCACAGGCCGCAGAGCATGCCTGGGGGAGCCTCTGGCCCGCATGGAGCTCTTCCTCTTCTTCACCTGCCTTCTGCAGCGCTTTAGCTTCTCGGTGCCTGATGGAGAGCCCCGGCCCAGCGACCGTGGCATCTATGCATTGCCAGTTACCCCAATCCCCTATGACCTCTGTGCAGTCGTGCGCTAGAAAGAACAGCAGCTCCAACCTTCCCCCAAGCTTGTGATAATTGATGTCCAATAAACCCGTTCTGTGGCTGCCACTCTTTCCCAGTCCAACCTCCATCCTTGTGTCAACTGTGTCCCAAGACAACAGTCTACACTCAGTCTTCCCCCTCTGCCTCAGACCTCCTCTACGACCAGCTTTAATGTTGTGAGAAAAGAGTTTACTGAGCCAAGAGCAGTGGCACAGGCCTGAAGAATATCATGAAGGAGGCCAAGGCAAGAAGATTGCAAGTTCAAGGTCAGCCGGGGCTAATGGCCTGGACTTCTTAATGAGACCCTTCATGTAAAGGGGTTATGTAGTCACGAGGTTGTGATGCAGGAAGGAGGAGGGAATGAAAGGAGGGAGGTAGGAAATTTGACACACTATAGGAAGAGAGGTCGCTGTGCTGGTGTTCAGTGATTGACCCTAGATCTCACGGAAAGACCCATCAACGGCCACTGGGTGGGTGACCAACCACAGACAGACATCAAGACTCAATGGTTCTTAGAGGAAATGCGAATGGCTTGTGATGGAATTCAGCACGATTCTTTTTTTGGTGACAGATGTTGGTATAGGTCCCCAAGACCCTGAAGTGCCACAAATGGTTAAGAGGTCTCTCAGGCTAGACAAGCTGCTGTCCTCACAGCTCAGGCTTGCTGCAGGGAAAGGATGCAGGAGAAAATCTGGATTGGCAAAAGGTTACTGGTCAGAATCCTGCAGGATGGGAAGGATCCAGCTGTTCTGTCTGGGCTGTCTCTCCAGACTGAGGAGAGTGTACCTGGCAAGCACATGGGACAGATATGGGTGTTACTCACTAGGAAAGTTCAAGAATCTTGGGGCTTGAATATTTGGGGGAGTGGTGGTGCCAGGTAGAACATGGAGGCCTGAATACCCCTTAAGGCTTCTCTTATTCTCCATATAATCTTAGGACAGACTGCAGCGTCCAAAGTCCCTGAGCTCTTTGGCATGCTTTGAGACACAGCTGTGTGGGCACTCTGTTTTTGTTTTCCTTTTGGGAAAAAGAAAATATCCTCCCCCTGACTCTCTTTCTAGGAATGTCAGGGAAGATCCCCATACTACATCAGTAGTCAGACATTGGCTTTTGGAACATACAGAACCAAACACTCACTAAGCTCGGGTAACTTTATTTCACAGTCCTACCTCATTGCTGGCTATAGGAATAGCCATATTTTTCCCCAGCATCTCCTCTTCTTCCCTCCACCACCCTGATTTTGATTGTATATGCATGGGTATTTGCTTGCATGTGTGCAGTTCCCCAAGAAAACAGAAGAGTGCTTGGGATCTCCTGGGACCTGAGTTGCAGTTAGTTGTACACATCCTGTGGTTGCTAGGAATGAAGCCTGGATCCTCAGGAAGAGAAGCCAATGCTTTTCACTGTAGAATGATCTCTACAGCCCTCCTCTTACCCCTGTTTGATGGTGTAGGAAGGTCTTACTCTAGCCTGAGGCAATGTTCTACAGCCCCTATGCTCTGCATGTGTGACATGTCAGATGAGTGACTTGTCTATGTCCCTGGGAGCAGGGGTTCATTGACATTGGTGCCCCATATTCACAGTCCTTAGCCTAACATAACCAGTATGCACAGCTCCTGTGGAGTCAGCTCCCACATCCTGATGCCCTCCAGTGAGTAAGCACCTGGGGGAGGGAAGAAGAGACAGGAAACTGAGGTAAACCTCCCTAGACTGCTCCACCCCCTCCTGACATGCAGACTACAGAGAAAACACAGGAGGTCAACTCAAGACATAAGACAAAGGACAGCCTTCTTCCTTTTTTGGGGACCAGATACCAGGTTGCAGTAAGAGGTCTCCTTCCTGGTCCTAGGTGGCTGCTTTGGTTGATGTGAGATGTGACCAGAAAGACCTAGAAGCAGTGACGTACCCATGAGGTAGCAGACTGGAGATGAACTGTGGTGGCCTGTGGTCATATCCATGGCCATCTTCCTTTACTGATAGAGCTGATGCATTGTTGCAAGTTCTGGACTTGCAGCTACCTGCCAGGCTCTGTGCCAGTACTGGGCCTGAACTTGCAGAACATGTGGTATAGCTTGTTCACACACAGAGAGAGGTGGTAATTAAGGGTAACAGATCACAGCTTCTCCAGCAGCACACAATGTTGCTGAAGCCACAGGATGGACAAGGAGCTGAGCCCCTAAGTAGCAGACTTAGCTGCTTCCTGGTGACAGGCTCTGTGGGGTCTGAGGATACTTTGGATTTTCTTAGTGCAAGGTGTGGGGAAGGACATGGCAGCTGATTTGGCATCTGGTAGCACAGGGCAGAGTTATGGAGACTCAGGTCTCCTCTGATCCCACTAATGGATGAGGGTGTGAGGGTGTTGAAGAGGGATCAGGGTCTAATGGAGCATTTTACTCAAGAAAGCAAGTGGAGAGAGGTGCTGTGTGGTCTTGACCTCACTGCCTGCCTCAAGGAACCTGACTTCATTTGTCCATGGTAGGATGCTAAGTAGCCCAATGACAATTCTGGTTGCTTTTTTTTTTTTTCAGCTTTCTCAGGATCTATGGCGAAATTAAGGTTTGGGCTTCCATCCAGCTCCCAAATAAAGACAGGGAATGTAACGAGTATTATGACTCTGGAGGGAATGGTATCCTGAAAGTTTGGGGAGTGAGGTGATACCTGGAGCTGCAACGGGACAGCTCTGCTCTGCAGGGAAAGGTATTCTGACTGTTTGGGGAGTCAGTCTATACCTGGAGCTGGGGTGCAATGGCAGATGGTCTCCCCAGACCACATATCAATCCTGCTCCTATCCTGGAGTGCTGCTACAGCTGAGCTTTATTCAACCCCTTAAATGGGGCTTCCCAGCAGAGCTTTGCTTCGTCTCTAGCCCAAGGTGTTACTTCTTTTGCTTCACTCTGCAGAAGGGGAAACCCTGCAGAAATGTAGCAATCTCCTCTGGCTCTGTGGAAAAGGTGTCATTTCTTCTACTCCACCTTGCTCAGTCCCCTAAGGACCGTCTCAGGAAAGTTCTTCTGTTCTACTCTGTCTTACTAGCCCCCCTAAGGGAACGTCTCTGCAAGTTTTTTTTTTTCTGCTCAGTCCCCTAAAGGACAACTTAGCAAGGTTCTTCACTGCACAGATGAATAAAGTTCTTCACTCAAGACTCTTTGGAGAAAGAGATTTATTTGGGAAGGAGGAGTCCAGCAGATTGGCTGCCTCTACCAGGATGGGAAAGGACAGCCGACAACTGAACAGGCAGTGTGGTTTATATAGGGTTTTCTAGTGGTGGAGTTTCTCTGTTCAGAGTTTCTCTGTTCAGAGTTTTTCTGTTCAGGGATTGGTTAATTTTCCTGCCCAAGGATTGATTAGTTTCATTGGTCAGGGGCAAAGATTCTTCAGTTTCAGAGCCAAACTGTGTTTCTTTGTCCAGGAATAAATATTCAGCTTTTAGGAATTGTAGCTAGAGTTTTCCTGCCTGGCCCACAGTCAGGACAAATCTCTCTCACCTGCCAGTCCCACAGCCACTCAGACCCGACCAAATAAACACAGAGACTTATATTGCTTAAAACTGTATGGCCGTGGCAGGCTTCTTGCTAACTGTTCTTATATCTTAAATTAATCCATTTCCATAAATCTATACCTTGCCACGTGGCTCGTGCCTTACCGGCATCTTCACATGCTGTTTCTCATCATGGCGGCTGTCAGTGTCTCTCTGACTCAGCCTTCCACTTCCCACCTTTATTCTCCTCCTTGTCCCGCCTATACTTCCTGCCTGGCCACTGGTCAACCAGTGATTTATTTATTGACCAATCAGCAACACACTTGACATACAGACCATCCCACAGCAAGGAATTGACAATTTGTCACAAGTAAAACAAAGTGCAGATGGGTGGAATGTATAGCACCAGAAGGACAGAGAGGAAAAATAAAGCCATATGTGGCTAATATAGCAATGAATGTATTGGGACATGATTAACTACAGCAATGGAATACTCAGATTAACATCATCCAATCTCAGACACAAACTATAAAATAAGAAATGCTTCTGAGAGAAATGTCAAAGATACTATCAAAGACAGTCACAGACCATTCAAGCTGTACATCAGCAGGGCACCACAGCTGTTGGTAAAGGTACCTTTAAAATGGCTGACTGACAAACCTGCTTGGGTGGTACAATGACAACAGAAAAATTACAGGCCTTAGAATAGCTGCTACAGGAGCAGTTAAATGCTCAAAATATTGAAGAATCAACCAGTCCTTGGAATTCTATATTTGTTATTTAAAAAGAAATCTGGAAAATGGAGACTAGTAACAGATCTAAGAGCTATTAATAAGGTGATTCAGCCAATGAGCTCTTTACAGTTTGGAATTCCCCTGACTTCTCCATTACTCAAAGTATAGCCTATTGTAGTTATTGATTTAAAAGACTGTTTTTTCACTATACCTTTACAAGAAAAGGGTAAAGAAAAAATTGGCTTCACAATGCCTACTTATATTAATCCTCAGCCTGTTAAGAGATATCAATGGAAGGTTCTCCCACAACGGATGTTAAACAGCCCCACCCTGTGGCTATATTTTGTTAGACAGCCATTGAAAATAATTCATGTACAATTTTCCCAATCTATAATTTACCATTATATGGACGATATTTTACTAGCTGATTCAAATGTTAGAGAAAATTTTTGAAGAGTAAATAAAATTTTGCCTTGCTTGGGGTTACAAATTGCTTCTGAAAAAATACAAAGAGGAGATTCTATTAATTACTTAGGATATAAAATAGGTTTACCACCAGGCAGTGGTGGTGCATGCCTTTAATTCCAGCACTCGGGAGGCAGAGGCAGGCAGCTCTCTGTGAGTTTGAGGCCAGCCTGATCTACAGAGTGAGATCCAGGACAGGCACCAAAACTACACAGAGAAACCTTGTCTTGAAAAAAAAATAGGTTTACAAAAAATTCAACCCCAAAAGGGACAAATCTGGAGAGATCAATTGCAGACTGCTAATGACTTTCAAAAATTGTTGAGAGGCATTGCCTATCTATGGCCCACTATTGGAGTAACAAATCAAGAACTGAGTAATGTGTTTCAAATTTTA